TCAAAAAAAAGTTCAAAATTTGTAAGAAAGGTTTGAAAAAAGTGGAATATAGTGTTCAAATCTTGACGCTGGACTATGTTCTGACATAATCTCCTCTTCCTAAAAAATGGTAGCAACTATGGGCTGGAGTGGTACGAGCCTGCGATGACCAGTACACATGGTTCAGAGTTTGGATTCGTAGGTGTTGCACTGTGTCTCGTGCATTTTTTTGTCGCTCCAATCGGCGGGCCGGAAGGAAAAAATACAAATAAGAAAACAACGCGAAAACAAGAAAACGACATATCTCATATTTTGGAATGGAGGAAGTAGATGTGATATAGTGAGATCCTTTTTAGAACGAAAACTGTAGCAAAAGTTTGCTGCATCTGGCAGAAGACCTAAATTAGCATGTAAAAGTTGGTATTTGATGCGGGCGGTTGCAACTGCTTCATATCGAGAGCGCTTGGTGAAGAATATCTGATCGGATTCCGACAATTCCTCCCCGGCCGTCCGAATATTGTCACCGTATTTTCTCTAAACACCAACAGGGAGGGTTCCCCGGCTCCATCCATTGCATAGAAGCCCGAAACACAAAACGGGGTCCGTTACATAATTCCACACAAAACAAACCAAAATACAGAAAGGAACAGGCTCCTGGTGGTTGTTATAAGAGGACCAGCCACAACTAAACACAGAGCTAACAGACTGAAACCTGGACTACATGCTAGGACCTAGGAATAACTAAAAGACAGGCAAACATTTTTTCAGAAAGCACAAAATACGTAGTGCATCTCGCAGCAAAGAGCAAATAGGAGAGTGCAGCATCTTTCTGCCTAGGCTTTCTTATAAGGAAACCAACTGTGGAGTTGGGTCGAGCCAGCGAACAGCAGCTATTCAGAATAGATGTAGGGCTTGCTAAGCTTCCGCCGTCGAGCTCGATTTGCGATGAGTGCTCGCTGTCAGCAACATGTTCTTTCACCCCCACTCCAGGAGCGCTGTACTTCCCAGCAGCATCTGCAGATGTAGCCACTAGTAGAAAACGGAGCTTTAAAACCGGTTCGTAAGGGTCTTTAGTGCCGGTTTCATAACCGGCACTAATTGGTGGGCACTAAAGCCCCCACTTCCCCCGCGTGGCGTGAGCTCGCGCCCTAGTATGGGGGACCTTTAGTACCGGTTGGTGTTACCAACCGGTACTAAAGGTTTTTTTTTGAAAATTTTGGAAATTTTTTTGATTATTTTTTTTCGATTTTTAATTTTTCTGAATTGTTTGGTGATTTAGTCTCTAATCACCTCTCTTAACTGCTCAAGTGTGGATCACTCATTCCAAATCATCTAACTTCCCGACCGGTCACCTATCCCTCTCACTACTCCAGCCCGAGCACGCTTAACTTTCGGGTTCTATTCTCCTTCGTTTCCAAGTCTGCACTTGTTGTTTTCCTGACAATAGTAAGATGCCAATCCTATTAACCCTCAGGAGTTTAGCTTGAGCATAAAGTCACACATTTCACTGTTTGAATTTAAAACTATTATTCTAAAAAACAGTAATTATTTAGTAACACTAATATTTCTTGAATAAGTTTGACCATAGTTTGACCACAGTTTGACCAGATTTGACCAAAATTCAAAAAATTGAAATAATTATTTAGTAACACTAATATTCTTGAATAATTATGTAGTAACATTAATACTTCTTGAATTAGTAGTTTGACCAGATTTAACAAAAAAAATTTAAAAAACTTAAATTTGATCATATCTTTTTTTTCCTTTTGGAATTTGATGATTCTAGAAAATTGCAAACAGGCCGTAGGCGGTCTCCATCGGATGCGGATTTTCGTGCTGAATTTTTTGATATATTATACGTTTTTTTCCGACATCGTATGCAAAAGTTATAACCGTTTTACATTTTCCCTGCACTTTTTGCAAAACATGTCCAAATTTAAGTTTTCAAATTTTCTTAACTAGTAGATGTAGTAATATAACTACCTCTCGAAGGATTTTATTTTTTGAAGTTTTTATCATTTTCATTTGATTTTTTCTGAACTGAAATGGCGACACAGGGGGTGGTAGAGTTTGAAAGTTGTCCTATAGTACCAGTTTGTGTCACAAACCGGTACTATAGGCCAGACCCCTTTAGTACCGGTTCGTGACACAAACCGATACTAAAGGTTAGCCCTTTAGTACCGGTTCGTGCCATGAACCGGTACTAAAGGTGATCGTGGGGCCCCAGCCTGACGCGAGGCTGCCATCACCCCTTTAGTACCGGTTCGTGGCAACACGAACCGGCATTAATACATAGTCGTTCGAACCGGCACTAATGGTACCATTAGTGCCGGCTCAAATTCAAACCGGCACTAATGTGCTTCACGTTTGATCCTTTTTCTACTAGTGTGCCAGAACCTATCTGTCCGCTCCTGCATATGATGTTCTTTTAAAAATATGATGTTTGAAGAGCGATCGCCATCTCCTGAGCATTCCTAAGGTCAGCGACCAGATCTTGGTCAAGGAAAACCAAATAACTCAATTAAAGATCATGGCATTCCTGTGTTTCCACAAAGCCCGGAGCACAGCAGCTACAGCAGTATTCAGAGCGTCAAGTATTTTACCAGCAACCCAAAGGGAAGTAACTGACTCTACTAAAACTCCAATTTGCATAGAGAATAAGCAACTGATTTGCTTCCATACAAGTCTAGCTACCAAACAGTCACACAACAGGTGCTGTACACTCTCAGGTTCAGAAAAGAAAAACAAATCAATGGACTTGTTCAAATTTCTCTTCAGCAGGTTATCCCTAGTCATAATTTTAATATAAGAAAGAAGCCAGAGATAAAATGTGGATCCTTGGAGGAACTATTATTTTCCAAACAGAAGGAATAAAGACAGGTGATACTCCTCTCTGCCTCCCCTTAATGAAAGCGTTTTGTTGGATACTAAACAATTTATGAGCATACTTGCTGACTCTAAGGTAGCCCCAAAATAATTCTTGCATCCTCGAGAACCACTTCCATATTGCTCCAATGAAAGACGAAGGTAGCGGTTTCAGGGGCCCAACGGTCGACTAGTGCATTGATCAGACTGGGATCCTTCAAAAATCCGTCCACCATTCGAGCCAGCGATATAAGTTGACCAGCCGTCCAGCTGTTGAAGAATTGTTACAATAAGGCATCAGTCCACTGCCAAAAATAAATAAATAAATAAATATGTGTGTGTGTGTGTGTGTGTGAGAGAGAGAGAGAGAGAGGGAGAGAGAGAAATAAGCGTGCGACATTCTGTTAGAGCATACCTGTCTAGCGTATAATGGTTGATCGATAAACGGACAAGTGGCGCTGCTGATCGGAGTACCAGATGTTCCTGACAGTGCACGTCCTGCGGGTACAAGATGTATAGTTGTGATGCACAGAAGGAATACAAGTATCATGTACATAGAACGCCTAAATTTTGTTGGCAAAATGGCCATCAAAGATGCAGCCCAACAAGATCAACTACCCCGTGATACTTTTGAAATGCAGACCTTGATCTGTCTTGAGGGCTGCGGCCCATCCAAGTATGGCAATTAACCAAGCACAGTGTTTATCATATGGGTTACTCCTTTTATGATGAGACGAGCAGACCTTACGGTGTATACAAGTATTCCAGGTTAAGAAAACTGTGTTAGTAACATTGCCGAACTAAATGTGATTGTCTTTAAATTTCGCCTGCTACCAGCTGCATAAAAGTCCATTTCTCCGGTGTCTTATACTTCTGTGAAATTATTTTTTCCTTCTTTCCTGTTACACTACGAGCAAAATACAAGCTGGGGTGTGAGATAGGGAATTTCGAGGCTAAGGAACCAACCTTCCGGAACTTAGACAACTCTTGTTGAATAGTATGTCACATCATCATGCTATTTTTTGGCAGGCAGGAAATTCATGTCGATACTAGCAAGCGGTTACCTGATTCTTTTGTACACACTGGGCGTCGCGTTCACGGTCCTCTTCAGAAAATTTATTTGCAAGAACACGGTTGTTCTTTCTTTGATTAAGAAATTTCTCAAGCATGGATCACTATCAGACGTACACTCCAGAAATAATCAAGCAGGGGTCACTATTAGACGTGCACCAAGGGTACTTCCTTGGGTCCTATCACTTTTATACAATCTGGCCGGTCAATCAGATGTGCGCATCATTTTTATACCATGTAGCCGGCCACCATAATCCACGGCAACGCACAAGCCCTTTTCCATAACCACCTTCGCTCAAGCACCGTATCTCTCAGTCTCCTATTTCTAACACATACATGACACTATATATGCCACCAAGTACCATCCAACAAACCAGACCAAAGTACAGAGACTTGCCATCCTAGGTTTCATCTACCTCTTCAGTACTGTCATTGCAGTTCGGTGCCTAACCGAAGATGGCCATCCACAAGGCTTTGCTTCTTGCAATCCTTGGTTGCATCTGCCTCGGTGGTACTGTCATTTCAGCTCGTGAGCTGAACGATGACTTGTCGATGGTGGCGAAGCATGAGAATTGGATGGTTCAGTATGGCCGTGTGTTACAAGGCGCGCCGGTTCGAGGTTTTCAAAGCCAACGTCGAATTCATTGAAACACTCAATGCCCAGAATCACAAGTTCTGGCTCGGCGTCAACCAGTTCGCTGATATCACCAATGATGAGTTCAGGACAACCAACACAAACAAGGGGTTGAAATCAAACTCCATGCGAGTTCTTTCTACAGGATTCAAGTATGAGAATTTGAGTTTTGATGCTCTTCCAACAACGATGGACTGGAGGGCTAAGGGGGCTGTCACCCCTATCAAGGATCAAGGCCAGTGTGGTAAGTACACAAAAAATGTGTTGCACTGCATATATGTTTTAATATTTTAGTGGATAACACTATAACAACACAATTATTTCTAGGCTGCTGTTGGGCATTTTCTGCCGTTGCCGCGACAGAGGGCATTGTAAAAGTGAAAACCGGCAAGTTAATCTCACTGTCAGAGCAAGAGTTGGTTGACTGTGATGTTCATGGTGAAGTTCAAGGCTGCGAGGGAGGACTCATGCATGGATGATGCAGCCGACGGCAAGTGCAAGGCTGGATCCAACAGTGCTGCAACCATCACCGGCTTTGAGGATGTTCCTATCAATAACGAGGGTTCCCTTATGAAGGCGGTGGCAAACCAACCAGTGTCTATAGCTGTGGACAGAGGCGACATGACATTCCAATTCTACTCTGGCGGGGTGATGACCGGCTCCTGCGGTACTGACTTGGACCATGGAATTGCAGCCATTGGATATGGAAAGACTAGTGATGGCACAAGTTATTGGTTGATGAAGAATTCATGGGGCACAACTTGGGGCGAGAATGGGTACTTGAGAATGGAGAAGGACATTGCAGACAAGAAGGGCATGTGTGGTCTTGCCATGGAGCCTTCATACCCCACCAAATAGGAAGATCACCAAATGCCACCTAATCATACATATGCGCAATTCTCTAATAATTAATGTCCCCATGTCCTGTGTATAGTTCATATGTGTCTGTAAGTTGTGTATGATGATGTATCTTATGTCCATACATTGTTATACTTTGTAAATTAATACCGTGTGTGGTATATTATACAATATGTGAAACTTTGATTAAGAATTATGTTGATATATATTCATGAAGCTTTCAAATGTCCAAAACATTTGACTATGTTAAGAGTAAACTCTAAAGGGAATTTTCGTATATATGATTTTTATATCGGGTCTTTGGGTATTTATAGGAATGTAATGTCTTAACTGAAAATTGGAGGCATCCTACAGGTGATTTGTATTAATAGAGAATACCACATGCACTGTTTTAAAAGATTCAATCCATTGCAACAAGATTATGAGGAAATTCCAACTTCCCAAAATGGCCTAACGCATGACACCTTATGATAAGGTGATAGGCTATGACAAAGGAGACGCGATTATGTTATCATAAATATGCATACTATGATGTTTATTGAGATCATAGGTTAATCTTTTATGTGTCTTTCCATGTATCTGATCAACTGAGACATTTATGGGTTCTTGTTTTATATACATTTAGGCATTCAGTTTCAACTTTCCGCACGGAATCAAGCTTACAGAATTCCAAGTTCCGCAACAATCAAAATATGTATCCAAAGCAATTTTAGGATGAACAGAAAATCATCTTCTTGCATTAATTAATTATAGGAAAGTATTTTATCATGTGGAACAGTAAGAATATCCGTGGACATAATAAAGTGAAAATTGCTATGAAGTTTTATAGTCTCCATATGATTTGTTTGAATTGATTCTATAACATGTAAATAGTTTTTTCGCATGTTGTTAGTACACTAAAAATTGCACATCCTTCTACATGGTGATAAGATAGCACTTTACTTACAAAAGTAAAATGAAATTCTCTCTAAAAGAATTGTACCACTGGAATCACTGCCTACTTGCTTATCTTGAAGTAAGGTATGCATTGGTATGACTTCTAGTTGACATATATTCCGCAATGAAGTTGGCAATATGTTTATCTGAGCTTCCTCCTTCCTATGTTGCATCCTTGGCCTTTTGCATCCACTTTGCCGATTTTGTTTTGTACTCATCCTTCTATCCTTGTCCCCTTCTGTACTCACACGCCCATGCCCCACGCTCTCTCCGCATACTTTGCTATGGTGGGTTGGTCTGCCCAAAGTGGGATTCCCACAAGAGGAACACCACTAACAACTGCCTCCAAGGTCGAGTTCCACCCACAGTGGGCAACAAAGCGACCTACATGTATATTCGTGAATTTAAATCTGAACAGTTGTCCTTATTTTAGTACTTTGTAAAACCTTTTTATATTCTTGTACATAAAAATAAAACAAATGTATTTTGTGTTACCATATCAATAGCCTTGTGTGACAAAACCTCAAGTTGGGGGTAGCACTCAACAATTGATCCATTATTCACACATCTCACCTTGAGTTCTACAGATAACTTGTGTGACTTGTTGGATCTGACAACCCCAAAAAAGGGTTGGGCAAAATTGCATAGTCCATTGTGATTCTCATCCAACTGGGTTGCGTCATAGTTAGAGACGGTCCCATAGGATACAAGCACAATACAGGAAATGCGGTGCTTCTCTACCCAATCCATATACGTTGCATCACCACTGAACAAGTTGAAACCATAAGACTTGTTGGATGATAGGTTAGGCCTATCATCTTAGCTCTCCATGTTAACTCCATGTACTCTGCCTCCTGCTCGGTTGGCAAATTTTGAAATATCAAATTTCATCTAAAACCGACGAGAAAGAATCAAGTATAGATATGTCATACTCAGAGGAGCGTATTTGTTCGTTCCTACCCATATGAATCGATTCACATGATCAATCTGACGTGACATAGTTAATAGTGGAGGGTAGAACACATGTATGTAATGGTTGTGCAGGTACTTGTAGCACATGAGGCCCTTATGCCGCCTCAGACAGTTTAAACTGAATTGCAGTTTGCACCCTCCTTACGATTAGAAATGTGGAACAAAAGATGATAGAGTAGTTGACAATGTCCTCCTTACGCCCTGTCATGTGTCAAACCATGTGTCTACAACGCTAGTGTGGCGTATTACTCCTCTTAAATAAAGAAATAAAATATACAATGTTAATTGACAAAAAGCAATATGTGGTTTCTTGTTATGATATGTATCACTGATGAATGCAGTAAAAATTCACATTTGTAGTTCATTTGTCACGTTTTCCAGTCCGGTGATTCCTGGTTTGCTGAAACATTCCAGTGACCTCGAGTTGCACAACGCTACATATGAAGTTTGACTAAAAAGGAAAAAATACCCAATGGAACTTTGGTCTAGGCGCATCCAGGTTGAAAAAATACATTTTAAAAATAGCAAAAGAGAATACCAAATAATTCTGTGTGACGAACATGCTCTAGTGTTTTACTCATGTGTAAAGTTTCGAGAAGAAATGACGTGGTCTTCTTGTATGAAAAAAAAACAAAATCAAATTTACATAAAAGGTGTGACGAACATGCTCTAGTGTTATACTCATGTGTAAAGTTTTGAGAAGAAACGACATGGTCTTCTTGTGTGAAAAAAAACAAAATTAAATTTCCATAAAAGGTACTATTCAAGAGTACATGGAGTTCGACAACAGAAGCAATTGTCACCGGTGTACCTATTGTCGCAATATCATAATGGGCAGACAAATGTAACCGCCCGCCACAAAGTATGTGGAGAGCAGATGGGTAGTCAGCTTGCGTCCATGTCGAAATGAGAAGGACTTGGTGAGAAGGGATGGGATGAAGACGTGCATCAAGGAGGTGATAGGTGGGGAGGAGTACAAGAAGGATGTTTCTAAGTGGATGCAGGAAGGAGAGCGCTCTGATAAGAATATTGCAGATTTTGCAGTGAAGAATTTATCGAACTAAGACAATTTTTAGTCTAGAAAGATCTTCCCAAGTTCCTTAGCCTACACTGAATGTTCGAGTCCTTTGTTCTTAAATCGATCTGTATAATGAAATCAAGTGGTAGCTGAAAACTAGTACTTGTGAAATAGAGTTACTTTTGTTGTAAAATCAAGCAGTTGCTAGAAACTACTTGTTGGAGATAGGAAGGAGCAAAATGAGATCATCTGATTCAGTATAGCAATGCTGTGGGATCCAGACTTTTGAAGCCTGAATTTGGGATTTTCTCACGTGTACCTAGCAGAGCATATATGAACATAAAAAATAAGCTCATTTTGGTTTAGAGAATCATGCAGGTCATTCATATGTTGCTAGCAGACGTCAAAGGATTCATATGCAAAGTAATGGATCCTCAATACCAAAAATATTTTACATTGCACATCGGTACGCTTCTTCTTTGCTTATGTCAAGAATCAGTGCAATGTAAAATTATAAATCAAGGAAATTTTCTAACAAAATGATAAAAGGTATAAGAGTACCACAGGTAACAATATTTTTTTAATAACTGATGTAGTCTAATAATATTGATAAGCTCAATCAAACATGCAGGGAAGGCCAAAAATGAAATGGTACCGGTGTTTCAAGCTATATTGGCCAAAGATATTTAACCATGAAGTTCAAAGACATGTATAATCAAAACAATGCATGCCTAAAGACCATTGTTCTGATGATAATTGATCTGCATGATGATTAGGAGGACATGATCCACAAAATACATATAAAACATGCTGCCGCAATCAAAAAGTTTTAAGGAGCATATACTATGGGAAACTGATGACACAGGTAAAGCGGCAAGCAAGCTATCGTTAGTCCATAGTATTTCTGACTCTCACCAAACATCGGACCACGAATTTAACATAAAATCTGCAACGTAATACCACCAAAGTCAGGTGCCAAAAGAAGCAGATACCAAAAAAACTCCATTGCCCCACACAGGCCCGAGCCCATGGGGGTGCAACCTGTGCGCCGGCACAGGGCCCCCAGTTTTTAGGGGCCTCAGATTTTGTACGCACGGCTAGGCAAAGTCCAATTGGCTGGGTCTTTTATCCTTTGTACACGAGCCTCCTTCCGTCTTTCCTCTGGGTGAAACAGGCCCCGATTGGGACGTGCGCCTCATCCAGCGATCGATCTGCCTTCTCTCCAAAAAAGTGATCGATCTGCGTAAGAAAAATAAAATCCAGCGATCCATTGAGACGAACAAAGCCAATCTATTGATTTTCTCCTCCGGCGGCCGAGTTAAGCTAAATTGCAGGTTATATCCATTCTTCGCTCTCCTCCTTACATCAGGAGAGCAGGACCACGAACGGCAGCGAGGCAGGGAGGACATGAAGGAATGGAAGGTTCAAGCCATCTTCCGATCTCCAATTTCTTAAGCATCGTCGCTTTGATAACCGGCGATCACGTGAGGCCTTGATTGTGAGTTGCAATTTACGTCCGCTATTTAGTTCTGCAAAATTCTTCTAGCTATTTATTTTTTTCATCTATTAGGTGTCTCGTATTGCAAGATCCAAGTCATGTCTTTGATTAGAAAACATGAATCTGGTTACCAAAAGCGTAGAAAGAAACAAAAAAAATCAAAGATTTAGTGAGGTAAGGCCCATTTTCGAGTTTGG